CTTGTTCCCATCGTTCGTTCTTTTCAGTTGTTACTCTTTTCTTTATCTCTCTGTTTTTCTCTATATATAGGTCTAAGTCTTCCTGTTTCTTGGTGTTTAGGTATTTAATGTGTATTGTTTTCTTTTCTTTTATATCAATATGTCTTCCCTTAATTTGATATTCTGATGGGTGTTCCTTTGGTCGTCTTCTCCAAGAGCTGCTAAGGCCGCTGAAATCAGGCAGGTTTTTATGTGTTCATACATTTCATCTAACCTGTCATATCGGAATTCTTCTAGTTTTTGGTCTAGTCTTTTTTTTGTATAGATCTTAACTTAATCTCTACAGGTACAAAATATTTATAATTTCCAAAAAGAAGAGGGTCTATGTATAAGCCCTTAACTTTCTCAAAAAGCATTAAAATTCCTAAGCAGCAGAATGTGTTTTTGCAAATTGTGATTAATTTTAGTTAAGATTAGCAGGTTATGTTTTATCATTATAGAACGTGGAATTGTTAGTTCTATTATAAAAAGCGATACTAATAAGTAAACTTGTGTAGTAAAAATTTTACACACGTCTAATTTTATTCCTAATTAATTAAAAATTAAATTAAATTAAACCCTGCTAATGAAAACTAAAATACTGTTCGGAGTATAGTTTCTAAGTGCTCAAATGTGATCAGAGTTAGAGAAAAAACTATTTATAAACTTTTCAAGTAACTAGAGTAAAAGTATTACAGGAGCACCTAAAACGCCAAAAGGGAGAAAACCCATCATATAGACTAGCATTTCTTAAGCTGTGGTCCCAGATCTCTGGGGGTCCGCGAGCACGTGTTATGTGGTCCGCGTCATCTATGCACGTGTCAATTAATAAATAAATGTCAGCGATCACTACAAAAAACAGCATACAAAGCGCGCTAATAGTGATAGAGGGTTCGCAAACGATCCGTTCACAAAGATCGAATCTTTTCAACGCAATTGATACAATCACATTCTGTGGCCCTGTCGTTCAAATGATCCTACGCATCATGCCTATGAATGACGCTGTCTAGTGTTTACAAAACTAACTGTGTTGCATGAACCGCATAAGATCGTTCAAAAGCTGATTTCAGTTTCCCAGAACGGCGAAACTCTTACACCGCAAAACTGTAAAATTATATACATTAGAATTGTCTAGTTAATGGTTCAATGGTTCATGGTCCCATAATCTGTTCTGTTTAGTTTAAATATTGAAATGATTATTTACATTCATTTTATTAGTCGTGTGTTTTGTGTTTTGCACTGTGTTCCGTTGAAGTGTAGATAACTTTATAGATAAGTATTACGTTTTTAGTGTTATTGTGACAATCAAACGCTGGTAAAAGCCCAACGACTTCGAATCAAATGAAAGACCATCGACTTTAAAGGTTAAATGTCTTAAGTTTAGTGACGATTACTTAGTTTTTGGATTTACATGTGGTAAAGAATGGTGAATTTAAACGGCGAAGAAAGACCTCAGTGCGTCATATGCTCCAAGATTTACTTGTATTAAAGAATGTGGTGAATTTAAACGGCGAAGAAAGACCTCAGTGCGTCATATGCTATGAAGTTTTGTCGAATGAGTTAATGAAACCGACCAAACTTCGACGTCATTTGGAAATAAAACATTAAGATCTTCGTGAGAAATCTCAATAATTTTTTAAAATTAAAGACTCGGAATTAGAATTAAGCAAAAAAACAATAATTAGGACTGCTACAGGGGCCATTAACAACATTGCTATATTAGCGTCTTATGAAGTATCCGTAGTAGTTGCAAAAAGTGGTGAGTGTCACACCAGTGCAGAAGAATTATTACTACAGTGCGCTAAAATTATGATTTCCGGTTTGTTGGCAAAAAAAGCTTAAAAAGAATTAAACATTATATCGTTATCCAATAGTACAGTAAAAAATATGACTGGTATTCAAACAGGACTTCAGGCTCGCGTAAATAATATGAATCCATCTATTCTCTGGCATCATTTTTGTATTCACAGAGAGGCATTAGCTGCTAAAAAACTTTAAGAGAAAATAAAAACAGTGTTAGACGAAATAGTGCAGGATGCGAATTTTATTAAAGTCTTTGGGTGTGATTTGTGAAGAAATGGAAAGCAATCACAAGCAGTTATTATTGCATGCTGCGTACGTTGTATGTTGATTGACAGAATGTTTGTTTTTTTTTAATTCTGTAGGTATCGCAAATAAACATGCTAATAATTTTAACAACTTTAAATGGCTTACAATGATGACATATTTGGCTAATATCTTTAGTGCTCTTAACAAACTGAAATTAAATCTACAAGGAAGAGACCACAACATCTTTCACGCTAATGATAAAATAGAAACTAAAAACTTGATCTTTAGACTACTCGTACAAAAAAACTGTAATCGTTTTCCTACACCGATAAAGTTTTTGGAATCCTCTGGTAAGGAAATGTTGCCTAAGGAAGTAGAAGAAGAAATATTTACACACCTCCGCTTTTTGAGGTCTTCTTTTCGAGATTATTTTCCACAACCCGATAAAAATAAAAACTGGATAGCAGACCCTTTCAACGCAAATGATTCCGATATCATCGGCTTGAGAAAGATACAGTAAAATCAATTACTAAAAATATTATGTGATTCATCTTTAAAACGTAATTCCAAAGAATATTCCTTATCAAATTTTTGGGTAAATTTAAAAACAGATTATAAAGAATTACCAGACGCAGTACTAAAACATTTGTTGCTTTTCTCATCTACAGACCTCTTTAAGAGATGATTCTCTGCTCTTGTATATATCAAAAACAAGTACAGATACTGACTACAATTGAAATTTGATTTAAAATTACAAATAAGTAAAAGTATCAACCCAAATATACCAAATTTAGTAGCAAGAAAACAGCACCAACCTTCACATTAATACAATATTTTTTTATTTTCATAAAAATGATAATTCTTTCAGTACTTCAATAAATTGTTCTAATTTAATTGTGTTTTTTTGTTAAGGGAGTCCTTATTTTCCTTGATTTTCCAGGGGTCCTGGGACTGAAAAAGGTTAAGAAAGGCTTATATAGACAGTATTGTGAAACAATAGATTCGAAAAAAAATATATATATTTTATTTACAAAAATGGTTGATACTTTGGATAAACTTTTAATATACATTAATGAAGCCAAATCTTTGCCTAACATTAACACTAGAAAGTCGGAGGGGCCAATTTGGCCCCTGTTGCGATTTGAAGTTATTGTAGTTCTTTTATTTGACACAATAATATTTTATGACTTATTTTATGAATATTTTGATACAAAGTCTTATTTACCGCAAAAAAATATTGTTTACTAAATTTATTAAATGGATTTTCTAACAAACCTACCATAGAAGTCTGAAGCGGCCAAACTGGTCCTGTATTAATTATTATCGTTTTCTCGGAAATTTGACGATTTCTTTAAACTTTATGTCGTATAGATACCTAGAATTATGTTTATGTACGTTTATTCCTATAAGGTGTTTTGTTACATACTGCGTGGATACTGGCACTGATCATCTACGCAAGAAAGATGGACAAGTGTTGGTAAACATGTTTTGCGGTTAATGGAAAATCAACTGGAAAAGAGCAAAATGTTACGACAAATAATTACTTTACATCGTTAAAATTGGCCAAGGCATTGCAAAAAAAATCAACAAGTCTTGTGGGTACTTTTAATCGCAACAGAAACGAAGTTCCTCTAAGCGTAAAGAGTAAAAATGGAGAATTATATGTTACCCATATATTCCAGAGCGACGAAAAGATAACACTGCATACCAAGGAAAGAGTCACAAAAATGTGCTTTTGTTGAGCTCATTGCATCAATCAGTTGATTTTGCTGTCGATGGAAAAAAACTTCCTCAAACAGTAAGTTTTTATAATAAAACAAAATACGGGGTTGATGTAGTGGACCAAATGGTGCGTCTTTATACTACAAAAGTTGCTTCAAGACGATGGCCAATGCACGTGTTTTATAATATTCTTAACTTAGGAGCAACAAATGCATGGATTATTTATAAAGAAGTTACTAGAAGTAAAATCAGTCGTCGTAAGTTGTGTCAGCTGTGTGAAGAATTACGGGCTCCATACCTTGCCTCCCGAAATCTGGTACTATACCCAGCACCACAGGATTTACCAACCATCAGCACTGTTACTAGCCAAAAAAATGGCAGTTAAAAATGATTTGTAAAGGAAATCATACTTCCAATGAGTGCCACAGCTGTAACAAGGCAATGTGTGGCAAATGCCAAAAACTGCAAACTGTATGATGTTCTAAATATTTAAAATGAAACTGAAAAATTAAATCAAATTCTATCGTCAAGAGTTTATATAATTTCTTAAAACTCTGTATTTTTATTTTTTGTTTATTCCCAAATAAATAGTTAATTCTAAACTTGGTTTTTACTCATGGAACTTGGGGCCAAAATGATCCCTTCGGGCTTTCTAGGTAGGTATGCTAAGCCCGACTTTCTAGTGTTAAAAGAGATAAATTGGAATAAACTTTACGTGAATTAGGATTCGTTTATGAGAATGACAATAGAAAATCTGTACTAATAGAAAAAGTAAAAATTATTTATTACAGAAAGTAGAATTTAAGGAAAATTCAAAAATTAAGGAGAGAAGACAAAAATAATTTTTATTTAGATAAAACATGGATAAATAAAGGGCATTTTGTAAAAAAAGTTTGGCAAGATAAATTGGTTACAAATGCTCGTCAGGCATTTATAGCAGGTTTGTTTACGACCTTACTCTCTTTTAAAAACGATTTTCGGAATAAAACTCTAAATTAAAATTTTTTTCAATAAAAATATAATTTTGATTACAATCAATTATGGTTTAATAATATATAAACATATATGTTTTCTTGTATTTTATATATAGAATAAAACAATTGACATACGATAAAATATATTATTTTTAATGATGTTTTTAAAATTAATAATACCTTTAATAAACAGTGTTAAATAATCAAGTTATTTTTCGTAAACCAACTAAAACTTACGTTTTGATTTCCTCACTGGAAGTAAGAAGTGGAGTCACCTCGTCGTTTGTGTAATGTTTACGGTAATTTTTACGAATTTTTGAACACATGATAAAAACTTTCTCCATCTCCTTTATTTAATGGTTTTAAAAGGAGTTATTTAAACGACTATAAAATTAACATTTTGATCCTAGAAGACATATTTTCTTATATAGAAATCACTAGTAGTCTAAATTACTGTAAAAGTGTATTGTTCCCTTAGTTTCCAACGAAGATCGGTACCTAATCTAATACATTAAGGACCAATTATTCGAACGGTAATCAAAGCTTGATTGTAATAAAATATTTTATTGAAATTAAATACGTCACATTTTGGGGTTATGTTATGATTTATTTTATTCAAATTTATTACTTTGCCTTATAATTTAAAATAAACCATAATTAAACTCTGTCTTATATTAATTTCATGTTTTTATTTACAAATCAATAATAATAATAAGCAATTTTTAATAATTTTGACAGCTGGTGTGACATATTTGATTGTAATTAAATATTTGATTACAATCAAGTTTTGATTAGCGTTCGAACAATCGACCCTTAAGCTTTTATTTAAATTAATATAACTATAAATGTGTAATAAGTAATTAAAATGCTTTGCTCTACAAATTAAAGCACCACTGGTTTAATGTGTTCATAAACCAATGTACAGAATTCTTTAAGTCTCTCGGTTAACGCAGGTTTTAAGTTTCAGCTGTGGGTTAAACTTAAATTTAAGAATGCGTAAAATACATACAACCAATTGTAAAAGAAAAAAATTAATAAAGATAAGAAAATGACAATGAAGATTCCTTAATTAAGATTAACGAAGATTAATCTCTGTTTACACTAAGATGAGGTCTGACTATACTGATTAACACTAAGATGAGGTCAAGAATTTATAAAGTAAGTGTAGGATCAAAGATGACATATGCCAAAAAACGCAAAGGCTACTAGAAACGAAAGAGATGAGAGTACTGAGAAGAATTAGAAAGAAAATAGAAATAGAAAAAGAAAATACGATAAGAGATCGAAAGAGAAGTGAAGACATTAAAAGACGATGTAACGTACATTGTATAAATAAATGGACACAAAATAGAATGGAATGAACAGAATGGAAGAGATCCGTGTGGTCAAAATAGCAGGAGATGTCACCAATTGGCAGAAGTTTAGGACGCCGCACAAAATATAGAGTAACAACTTTTCATAGAAGTTTTAATTCACCAATTAACAAGCAGAATTGCTTATAAAGAGAAAAAAAGAAGAATATGTTTTAAAAATATACCTAGACTTTTCGGATGTATGTATTTACAGTTGGTGCAATAATTTTATTGAGCAGTGCATTTTAATAATAAACAAATTCTCACCCAAATTAACCATACTGAATGTATTTTGCTAAATATCATTACCACTAAATTGTAATTTAAACACGTTCCCTCCTAACATCTTAAATAGTTTAAAAACATCACAATCATCACAAAAACTACATATTTAACTATTTAACTACGAACTAGACCGTTAAATTTTAATATTAAGGTCATTATTTTTTACTGCTAATAATGTGGTCATTTTTGATAAGAAAAATAAACTACAAATTTGTAAACATTAGAATTTTCTAATTGGATTATGTAAGCAATTGCCGATAAGGAAAGATTAAATTTTACTATTTCCTGAGAGTTAACAAATAATATTGTAATGAATTAAAATGCAGAAAATTACTGCTTGTTTATGCGTTTGTTTAAACATATGGACTGTGTTATAGACTTCTTCTTCTTCTTCAAGTCCATCTTCGTTCCAAAGGTTGGCGATCATCAGGACTATACGTGTTTTCGAAACTGCTGTCCGAAACAATTCGTAGTTGCTACAGCTATACCATTCCCGTAGATTCTTTAGCTAGGAGTCTCGTCTTCTTCCTATGGACCTTTTTCCTGCTATTTTCCCTTATTTAATGCAGTTCATGACTTACTTTTCTTTATTCATTCTTCTCAAGACCTCGACATTTGTGACACTCTCGGTCCATGATATTCTCAGGATTCTGCGATACATTCACAGTTCAAATGCCTCTAATTTTTAGGTATCAATCTTTTTCAACGTCCATAACTCCATTCCGTAGAACAGCACAGAAAGTACGTAACATCTCATCAGGCGAAGATTTATTTCAGGGCTCAAATCTCTTCCGCAGAATACTCTCTTCATTTTAGTGAATATGGATCTGGCTTTTTCTATTCTTATTTTGATTTCTGCTGAGCCATCGTTGTCTTCATTTAAAAACGTGCCTAAATATTTGTATTTGCTAACTCGATCGATAATTTCATTGTGTCGATATGAATTTTGGACATTTTGATCGTATGTTCGATATTACCATAAATTTAGTTTTCTTTGTGTTTAAAGATAGTCCATATTCTTCGCTGCAGTCTGCTATCTTATTCACCAATGTCTGTAGCTTTTTAAATGTTTCTGCGATCAGAACGGTGTCGTCGGCAAATCTCAGATTGTTTAAACTAACACCATTTATTTTAATACCTATGGATTGCTTAGAGAGTGTTCTAGTCATTACGTATTCGGAAAACGGCGTATCTAGGTCAAATCATGCGAAATGAAAAATACCAGTTCCTCCAACTTATAATAGAGGGTAAAATTGAAGGCAGAGAGGAATGGGACGCAAGAAAATGTCCTGGCTCTGAAACATAAGGCAATGGACAGGGATTATCGACATACAATCTCTGATACATATTGCAAGAAATAGAGAATTAATGGAAAATGTGATCGCTAACATCCATTAGTAGATTTGCATCTGAAGAAGAAGAATTCGGAATAGAGATTAAACAGGGTTGGTGGCTGCATACACCCTTGTTTCACACTTCGCTTTATTTCAATTTCTTCAGTGGTATTATTCTCTACTCTTACTACTGCTTTCTGATTGTAATACATATTTGCTATTAGTCGGATGTCTCGTTTATCTAAATTCTTTTCTGTCAGGAGTCTGATTAGGTGATCATGCCGCACTTTATCAAAGGCCTTGTTGTAATCTATGAAACACATGAATACATCTTGATTTATGTCAAGACATCTTTGAGACAAAACGTTCCGTGCAAACAACGCCTCTCTTAACCAAACTGGGTATTATTGATGTCCATTTCCAGTTTTCTGTGTACTCTAGAGTGTATAATTTTCAGGAATATTTTCAGTACATGGCTCATCAGACTTGGCATTTATCTTTTTTGGTATAATAACGAAGGTGGATAAAAGCCATTCTTGTGGTATTTTTCCTGGTGTATAAATGCTATAGAAAAGTTCAACTAAAATGTGAATCGAGTCTTTTTCTATTAGTTTAAGGATTTCCGTTGGTATTTCGTCTGGACCTAGGGCTTTATCATCTTTTGTTCTTTTTAGTGCGTACATTACTTCCTCTTCCGTTATTTTTGGACCTTCGTCTCCTTGTATGTTACTTAGCTCAGTTTGTTGTCTATCATCTGCAAAGAGTTCTTCAATATAGTTTTTTCATGTCTTCAACTGTTCTTCTAGTTCTGTCATTATGTTTCCGTTGACATTATACAGGGTATTTGGCTGCCTACGTTTTTGTGTACCTGCAAGTTCTTTCGCTTTTTTATGTACATTAAAAATATCATGCTTTGCCTGCAATTGCTCTATTTCTTCACATTTTCTTTTATAAAAATCTTCTTTTGCTATTCTGATTTCTATTTTGATTTCTTTCTGTATTTGTTTATACCTTTGTTCGTTTTATCCTTTCATTATTCTCCGATTGTCCATGAGAAGAAGAATCTTCTCAGTTTATAGACTATAATATTATATTAATGCAATAGTGTAATTAATTAAAAATTTATGTTTATATACATTTTTTCGGTACACTTTGGCACTTACGCACTAGAGAAGTATATTCCATATAAATCAAAGTTAAAAATTTTTCTCCAATCACCATATTAGATTCTATTTACTATAATTCTTAAAACTGTTCTATCGATCACAATAGAATCAGTGGGAAGAGAAAGCGGACATATTCAAATCGTTTCAAATCTTCTAAGATCTGTTAAGGCTCTGGCCAATCTAAAAACTATGTGGATTATGTTTTGACCTTCAACTCAATCAGAAAAAATTTGAAAGTGTTTTGCTTCCTCAGATAAATATGTTTTAATATAATTATTATAAAGGAATACACCTCGTTAGGGCTCTTTTTGCCTAATCCTTCGTGATATACGTAGCTTTTATTAGTTTTAAGATGTGTATGTTAAACATACTGACTGTCACTTGAATTAGGTAAAATGTATTTTGGATAGGTGTTACTGGTAGATATAGATTTTGCATCTAGTCAATGCATAGTCCTTCTACCGATGGATCTAATTTGGCAAGGGCCTCTAACTCATTCATTTTAGCAAAAAACTTTTTTGATCGACGTACATGCACCATTTTTCAAGCTATTGCTACCCTCATAGCATTATCATTCAACTATTGGGCCTTTGTGTTTAAATCTAGTTCTTCGCATTTGCTGCAGGTGTCAGTCTGAGGACTGTTGAGTTGACAACTCTATAAAATCCATATTTAACTGTGACATCTGGAAATTTTTCCGAAAATAACTAATGCATTATTTTTATATTAGTTTTGCGTTTAAATCTTTTACTTTTGGTTCAGTGTATTGCGCTAGCATGACAGGAAATGAGTCAATATAGGCTTTTATACTACCTTCTATTTCTTCAGGTTTTGCATTAGCTGGTTTTTGTTTACCTTTCATATCAACAGATACTTGTCCTTTTTCTAAAATCTCTATCAACCGACCTACTCTGTGGTTCGTTATAGCATGAAGACTTAAAAATGATGATTTACAAACAGAATAAACTTCTGTACTTGTTAATACTCTCTACGAAAATAAGTGTTCATTTGGTTTTCTCGTGTTATCTTCGGTGTTTTGTCTAGGACGCCGTCGGGCAACTGTCAATATTTCAATAAGACACTAAAGATAAGCGTCTTGAGTATTTTTGTTTTCTTATGTATAAAATTTTGTAAAAATCTCTGCTCTACATTCACAAGGAATGGCAAGAAAGCATTTCGTTTTACATTTATGATGTAATAAGTCTAGTGAGAATTAAAAATTTAACATAATTTGAGGTACCTGCACAACATTATACCTGCATGGTACTCCAATTGTTTTGCTTGGAAGAGTACGACTTTTATACTCAGTATGCTGGTGTCTAGATTGCCTTTTTTATTGGTAACAGCCTTCCAACACTCTGGATTTCACCTTTTTTGAAATTTTAATTCAAGATTATCATCTTGTACACCTTCCATAGTGCCTAATGACAAATGTATATTGGAACGAATAGACATGCGTTATAGCTTTTGTAGAAAAAGTGGACATGTACAGGAGTTATCCGGTTTTTCCACAATATTATAATTTCTAATATATATAAAAGCATTATTAGTATGAGGATTCATACTTACAATTGATTTCTGTCAAAATGTCGAAAATGCCTACTTTTGGACATATCCGCTTTCTCTTTCTATTAACTATTTCTATTATAGTTTAACTATTCTTGTAATGATGGACTGATTTTCAAGTAATATATTTATATTTTAGTGGTTAGCACGTACGAAGATAGATGGCGCTACTTAATTCCGAATTGGTTTCGGTGTTGACATTTGCCGTTCATGACATGACATCTGTCAAAATTTTAAGTTTTAAAAACAATTAGTTTGGTTTTTACAGCCGTCAAAAGCAAGCAAATTTGTGTTTTCGGAGAAATATAAAAAGTCGAGTATCGTTCGGATATAAGTTCGGACAAAGTTTATGGTGAGATTGCACCTTCGTTGTCAACAGTAAAATTTTGAAAAGTTGAATTTGTTCGTGGTCATACGAGTGTTTTTGATGATGCGCGTCCCTGGAGGCCAAATGAAGTCACCACGCCGGAAATGATCAACAAAGTCCATGATATGATTAGTATATGATTACGAACGCGTACACCACATCATTCACTATCATTTGGACATGAAAAAGCTATCCGCACAATGGGTGCCGCGTTTGCTGAAAATTGGTTAAATGTAAAAACGTGTGACCACTTGGGAGACGTTTTTAGCGATGATACGTTCCGATCCGAAGGATTTTTTCACCGATTTATCACTGTTGATGAAACCTGGGTGCATTACTACACACTGGAAACCAAAGAACAGTCGAAATAGTTAAGCAAACGCGGCAAACGCAAAGAGTGCACATTTGGCCAGCAAAGTGATGGCGTCTGTTTTCTAAGATGCTAAGGGCATCATCAACGTCAAATACTTGGAAAAAGGAAATACGATCAGTGGTGAGTTCTACGCAGCTTTATTGGATCGATTTAATGCCGAGTTGCGTCGAAAACGTCCCGGTTTGGAACGCAAAATAGTCCTTTTTCACCAAGACAATTCACTGGCTCACCGATCGGTCGTCGACATGGCAAAATTACATGAATTGGGCTACGAATTGATTAAATACCCACCATATTCCCCAGATCTTTCCG